GCAGTTGATTTCAACCGTTGAAATTTGTTTTGCAAAATATATTTATAGAGATATACATATATATATTATGGTTTCAAAATGTTTGCAAAAGGTTTTAATTCCCGGGATCCATGTGAGTAGAGAGTGCAGCACTGTTCCTTGCAGCCGAGGGAGAGATCCTCTCTTGTCGGGCAGTATTTGATCATTATGGGCTGAGAGGTTAAGTGTAAGACCATTGAGGGTAATACCTGATGAGCTAATCTGGCATCTTCCCACAGTCCTTGGGTTATTATAAGGTGGCTTGACCCAGGGACCATTTAGTGTAAATGTTGGGCCCATTAAGAGCCCATAGTGATGGACTTAGAGGTTCACTGTCTCCTACAATGAATTCGACCAGGCCTTGTAACAGAGGCTGGACTAAACCCATGTGGCTGATGTGTAGATCAATGTTTGGGTCCCACGCCATACAAGGATACCCAACTGAGCAGCAGTTTGGAGGATAAGAGAGCACATGGACTTAATGAGCCTAAAGTTCAATTCGAACTGGTTTAATATGATTAATTAAAGAGGGGCGGTTTTGGGATTTAGATCAGCAGATAGGATAAGGGAATGTCCCTATCCACTCAGAGAGTCCAAATCCAAATAAAGATTTGGATTAGGAAACTCCTAATGAGATTAGGAGGGTTGATCTTTATCTGCAAATAAGATAAGGGATTATCCTTATCTCTTAAAGAGAGTTCAGATCCAAATACAAGATTTGGATTAGGAAACTCCTAATGGGATTAGAAGAACCTCTCTTTAAGGCTATAAATAGAGGAGGAGGGCGAACCCCAATTCACCCAATCAAATTACAAATTCAAGAGAGAAGACAGCTACAGTGAGACTGACGCCATCTTCTGCTCTGGCCTCCTCCTGTTGCTGTCGCCATTGCCAGTTTGATCTCCACTTGTAGGAGCGATCAAGAAAGGTTCTTGATATCAGTTTTTGGTGAAAAACTGATCTGAAGTCGTGCTCACACACCCTCCATCAAATTCTTGTTGAAGAGTTCGGTTCTTGCTGAAGAACCACCTGCTGATTCTGCTCCACCCTACGTTGTGTCATCTTCAGTGGGAGCAGTCTTTGGTATATCCCTCTCCTACCTTTTGGTTTCAGATCTGGTCTGGTTTAGGGTTCAAGATTGATCCTTGAAAATGCAGTTTTCTAAAATAGGGAATGTGATTCCCACATGGGAGAGAGAAATTTTTGAAATTTCGCCCAACCTACCTGCAGGGTTCGGCTATCCATATGATGGATCTCTCATCCCTTCACAAACAAGTATGGAATGTATGGAATCTGGATCTTATAGACCTGATTTGAGAGATGAGACTACTGTTGCAAGGCACTTCAACAACATCCGAGAGGGGGAAGCCTCTATACATTTTAATGGTGTTTGGTACTTTGAAATTTAGAAGCACTTCTATAGTAGATGGAGCCAAATTTTCTGCTAAAGCAATACACACTAACAGAAATTTCTGATTATACCTTCTTCAAGAAGAAGGATAAAATAAACATGTAAGTTGTACCTTTAAATTTCTTGAACTATTCAAAATATCCTTTTATTATCAGTAACTACTTGAATCATCCACTAATTATCAAAAAAAAATACTTGAATAATCCATTTAATCCTTCTAATAATTTTTACTTAAAATAATAATAATAATAGTTTTTTCTTATAAAAAATCCTTCTAATAATTTTTCAAGTCATAAACCCTTCTTCATTTATGTTTTAAGAAGGAAAAACCAGATCCAGCTACTGTGAGAAGCGGTTTTACATGGAAGGATGTTTAACATCTGGCACCTCAGACACCATACTTATGCATAACAGGATCCTCTTGACTGAAAATTCTAACAGACAATAGGACAAAGATAACATGAAAATTGGCATAATATTAACTTTTACCTCCAATATTGTGTAAATAGGTATCGATGCCTCTCCATCAATGACAATGCTCCTAAGAAGTGAGCTATGGCGTCGACCATAGGCCAGCAATATATGCTCAGATGTAGGAGAGAACTGCACAAAAATTTTTTTGATGCAAATAATCAACGGATATCCCAAATACTATAAATTTTTTACATCTAATGAACAATGATACTTTGGCATACCATGTTAGACAAGCCATTACAAACTTTGATCAATAAAAAATAAATAGCCACACGCACACACACACATACACACAGCATGGTTGGGTATCTAATAACTAACTGGTTTAAGGTTAATTTTTCTACTCTTTACTTTTTTTTCTGGGAGGAAGGAGTTGATCAAGAAGCCAGCACCATTTAACAATGAGAGAGAGAGAGTTGATCTACTTCTGGGTGCTTATTATCAAGAGAGATTATGCAAGCTTCAAAGATTTACACAAAGAAACCAATAGCATGTAAATGAAATTAACAAACAGAAACCAGTGAAGGATTAAATTAATTGGTTCAAGTAACAGTTATTTGTCACTTTTTTTTTGATAAATAACAGTTATTTGCCTCTTGAACCAATGGTTTTGCTTAGATACTTTCAGCTTCAGAAAATGATTACAGTTTTTGCCCTCATTCTTTCTTTTTCCCACAGGAGATCACAACTAGCGTTTTCAACCCATTCTTGGCCCATCCAATCAGACTGATTAACCTATCGCAATTCCAGTTTGGGTCAACCTCTACTTTACAAAACCTGTTGTCTCTGTCAACCTATTGACCTAGATGGCTGAACAATTTACCCATTTAGATGTTTTCTGTTTTTTTTTTTTTTTTGAATTTTTTATATAATGACATAACAGATTGACCCAGACAATCGAACCACTGACCCTTTGACCCGAAGAGTAAATGATTTAGCCTACAGGCCAAGTTTTAAAACAGTAATGACAATATTTTAGGTTGAAAATTAGGGTAATAAAAATATATAACAGAAAAAAAAGTGAAGAAACTCTCAAAGAAAAAACAAATTGAAAATCTAGGATCAAGATTACTTGCTGCATTGCACAAGATTTGAATATACTGCTTGACGTTTTCTTGTAAAATGTTTCTATCTATTCCTGTTCTAGGTTGTAGGAAAATTATAATTTAGAGGAGAAATAATACATCTTTTATAGAAATATTATACCCTCCAACCCAAAAAAAAAATCTCAAAAAGTAGGACAGAAAATCCAACCAACTAGCCATATACTCAATGCTAACTTGAAACCTGAATATATATAATTTTAACCTCTTAGTTTTCTCTTTAGGATGTTTATTTACAGGTCCATTGTTAACGACCCTCTACAATTTCAGTCATACCTCTGCTGATTATCCTAGATTTTTTTTCCATGATAATATCTATAACTTTAGCCATTGCATTGCACCAATTAAAAAAAAGAACAGATTTGGTTGTAAGGCAAAAAAGAGACTCTCATGCCTGTCATGAATTAGCAAAGGCTTGCTCTGTTATTACATCTGAATAAATAAAACTAAAGAGGTAAAAAAAAAAAAAGAAACAAAAATTGTTCCCTTGATTTCCTACTCCAAAAAGAGAATATCCCCTTTTCCTTGTTTTTTAGTTGGTTACAAAGTAGAAAAACAAAAAAAATCCCTTCATCATTTATTACATGCCTGAGAATTGGTTTTTATCAATAACTGACAAAGGTATTTTATTAAGAATAAGAAAAATACATGCTTATATACAAGGTGTTCTTTAGATAGGTAGATACTCAGCTAGCCACCCCTGCAATTATAAATAACACCTCCCCCCATGGGTTACCAAACCCCAGACATCTGATTTCTTGTAACCCCCTGTTTTGCAACCCATCTAATAGACCATTGGCAGCTCAAGGTACCAAATCAATTCATATAAACCTCAAAGAGACAACTAACCTATTGATCAAAAAAAAAAGACAACTAACCTGAATTGAGGTCAGACAATGAGCAGCTCTAATTGCCCGTGATGCAAGCACCGCACCAAACCTATATACACAAAACAATCATCAAATTACCATGGAGAGAAGGAACATAATTAACCCGACTATGGAGTAATATCAATAAACCATATAGATTGCTGAGAGTCTTGAACCATTACGTTGCCTCCTCAAGGGAATATATGCGGAGCTCATACATGACTTGATGAGCTGAAATTGGGTGGCGTGTTGGGGATGTTGCAGTTCCTGGGACATCATGTTGCACCTGTGATTGTAATACAGCATCGGCTTCCATATGAGGAAGCACACATGCAACACAGGCTGCTAAAAATCTCCCACATGGTGAAAAATGAGCACCCATTTCACTGCCATGATAAAGGTATCCAGAAGTTATCAATTACAAATTGTCATAAGGATAGTGTGTTTATTGCAAGCACAGACAATAAAGGACCACAATGAAGAACCTGGATGATCTATGTCAAATGAAATCGCTTAACCTTATAAGTGATAATTCATGATGTAGTAAATACAAACTGTAGGTTAACATGAAAAGAACGAAATTGCCAGCTTGTTCCTGTTGATATAATTCTCAAATCTACATAAAAGCCTCTTGAATCCACACAGAAAATTGAGAAATATATCAAAGGACTAACTTAAAATTCATTTAATACCAAAATTTTCTATATGATGCTCTCACAGCAACTATTTGTAAGAGAAAGAACCCTAGCTTCAGACCCAAGAAGAAGTTATAATTAAAATAAAGTTTCTAAAACTCAAATCCCATCACTAACTGATACCCTCTCTATCTTGGTTTCACTATCCAACAAAGCCTAAATGATGCAAAATGGATGTTTTTCAACCCTTGAAAAATAACATAAATAAAAAGTGATAAACCTTGGACACCCAAAACTACTAAAATTAATAAGAACTCTTATTCTAAACAAAAAACTGACTTTTGACTCTATTTGTCTACCCGACATGGCCAAGCAGAGTAAGCATTTGTAGAATGATGCCAAATGAAAATAAAAAATGCTATAAGCATTTAATAACAGAAAAATCTGAGAAGATCACACTATTTTAATTTAAATAAAAGGTCATACCTACAGAGGACAGCATGTGGTATGGTTAAGCGGCACGTTTCTGCATCAAGTTGGGCACAAGGATCTTTTATATCATGTGGCCATATTCTTAGCTTCACTGTGCAAGGCAACTCTGCAGCTGCAACTGCAGCCAGTGACGTGGCAAGTTCAGATTCAATTCTACCAACAACAGGTTGTGAATCATTTTCATCACGAGCAACATTGATAAAAGCAGCACTCTCCCCAGATCCAATGGGGGCCACTAAGCGGGTGCGTGAAGAACGTGGACGCAAACCAGAACGTCCAGTCACCCTAGACTGGCTAATACTACTTGGCATTACTGAGGAAGCCACTGGCACCTCCAAGTGACGAGTAGGCAGATCAGATGCCAATAAATCAGATGCTGTTCCATGAAAGCCAGATAAATTTTCAAGAGGAGCATCATTAAGAGGAAGCATGGGATGCAGGTTGGCTTGGCTTTGGCCCATTAACCATCCTTGCAGAAAAGGAAGCTCCCAACAAGTTGGATCACTGTAGGGAAAAAGACGATCAAGTTGCCCAATCTCAGAACTTCTTAAGAGCATTTGAAGGCCTGAATTGCCAGAAACACTTGATGGATGGACACTAGGTGGGGCTTCCACCCCAGACCTAACTGACCTTGTAGGAATTCGGCTAGGTGTTCCACCAGATTGAAAAATAAGTGATGGTGCATCATTGGCACCATCTAATGTATCTAGGACAGGAGAGCTCCTCTGCTGATTTCCCCCTACAGAAGCCCCAACTTCAGTGGTCTCTGTAGTATCCATAGCAGAGTCAGATACCACATTTTCAATTTCACTTGAGAAGTTGTGAGTAACTGTGTCTTCTGGTCCAGAATGTGAGCTAGAAGGGACCACCGGAGACATCTCCATGGGAGAAACCAAATATTCATGCTGGCTTCCTATATTAGAATCTCCCTGAAGATGAATTGAAGCAGAAGGTTCAACTCTCTGTTGACTCATAGTTGGAGCAACCACCCGATTGGGACGCAGAAGCGATATTCTCCCATCATCTCTTGCAAAAGTAGGCCAAAACAAGAAAGGGAATGGCATAAGGGGTACTTTAGCTTCCAAAACAGGTCGTGCATTAGAATGAACATTTGCAAAAAGTACAGCAGGAGGAGGATAGCGCAAGTAACCCGGTGATGTTGCTAGTGTCATTGGAGAGTCTGGAGAATCAAGGTCATTAACCTGCCAATTAGAGCATTAATAAGAATATCTTATAATAATAGTCAGGGTTGAATAATCAACCAAATAACCATCTAAAAGAAAAGTTCACCTCAGCAGTTAAAAGAAATGGAGCAGCATGTGGATGAAAATGGACAGCACGGAGCGAACGCCGGGTCTTTAGTACAATGGTTGGCGAAGATGTCTCTCCTCTCCGATTATAGTGCCATATGTACAGCTAACATAGGATTGAAAGTGTCAATGATAGCAAACACAAATTAAACTTCACACGCTTGAGTATAGTAAATGCATGAAGATGCAAGTCTATATAAGAAAGTATAATATATAGGGATGGAAATGGGATGAGAAACAATTGTTAGGGAATGATCATAAAAAAGAAATAATTGCTAGGGGACAACTAGGTTCACCCAAACCTACCTGATGCTGAGGAATGGATTGTATAAGATAAAAGCAAAATTAAAAAAAAAAAAAACAAAAGAAATAAATGGAGACATAAATGCCATGTCTTAGATAAATAAACAATATTGAAGTAGGTTTGGAAGGTAGTTACATCCCAAACTTAACCCTAGTCTGAGAAAAATCATACTAAACCTACCCTAATAGGAGATTGGCTGGGAAAAATCACCTAATTAACCAACCAATTTCCATCCCTAATCCAATGCCATGCTTGCAGAACAAAAACACTCACCTTGTGACCTGAAGCTACTGCAAGAAGTTCTCCTTGAGCATGGAAAGCAATAGAAGCAATAGGACGGTCTGCATAAAATAAAGTAATCAATTCACAGGTAAAAATAACAAACTAAACTGAAAGACCACCAAAGCATGGGATATCTGGCCGTTCAGACCAAAATGAATGGCCAGAAAACCCAGACTACAAATTGAATATGATTAAACCGACAAAGACGCACATGGGATTTGAAGCCTCTTTTTTTCAAGATTTGAAGTCTTTTGTACTTCCTTAACCTTTCCTAATGAATGTATGTTCTTGATTCCAAAAGAAAACAAAAATAGAAATAGGTTATTTCTGTCACCAATTTCAAATATTAGATAAGAAAGTCTGCAGGAAATTACAAAAATCACGTGATCCTATACACTCTGCAGTATTTGCATCCCAGAGGCGAACTTCATGATCCAAGCTTCCACTTGCTAGTATTTCTGGGTGCAGCGGATGGAACCTAACCTGCAAAAGAAATCCATAAGCACAAAAGATAGTAAGGGGAAGCTTAGCAAATAGGTCATCAACAAGACTAGTTAAGGAAAGAAAAAGGGGAGAGCAGAGAATCAAAATTTTAGAAGAAAAAAAATCTCAAACCAGATGGCACAAATAAATTCAACAAGTCACAGTAATGTTGCAGACATTCAGGTTAGAGCATTCAGGCATTGAATTAGTGTAGAATAAGGATGGTTTAATTTTCCTTGGGCTTGTCTTGGGTCATGTCGAACTCTGTGCTGGACCTGCTATGGTGTTGGGAGCTCCAAGGCCTGTCCAAGCTGGCAAAGAGTGTGTGGATGTCTATTCCTGCAGAGCAGTGATTAGCACCATCTGGGTGGAAAGAAATAGAAGGATATTTCAAAATAGTAACAAAGATTAAGACTGTCTAATATCTTGTACTTTTGGCAAGCTGGTCTCTTGAATTGCGGCTGCAAAAGGACTCCAGAGATAGGTTATTGGGGTCCAGTTGAGGACAAGAAGTCTGTTAGATTTATAATTTAGTCTGGGGCTATGGGTCTTGTATATGTTGCTTCTCTTTTGAGGCTTCTGTTGTAATCTCTTGATCTATTTTCTAATAAAGTCACTTTACCCTTTCTCCAAAAAAAGGATGGTTTTAATTTTCTAATCATGAATCTTTGAAAGTAGTACAAATTCTAAAGGTTTTCTTATTAGCCTCCTATAGATATAAATAGGGATTGATGCTCAGTTGCATCAAGACCATCTCTCATATTTCTGTGTTACTTTATAAACATCTCTAGCCTGCCACTAGGGGGTCAGCACTTGATGATCTGGTAAAATTCTTGGAAGACAAGCATGAGAAATTGGGTTTGAATGTGCAACCACTTTGTGTAAAAATTACAAGAGGTTAGGATTATACACAGTCCTCTACCATGGCCCCACGTCCATGGAACTAGCAATGTTTAATGGTCTAGCCCACTTATATGGCGCTACCAAGGCCCCACATCTATGGAACTACCAAGGCCCCACATCCATGCAACCAATTTGGTTTGAATGTTAATCTAGAGTCTAGAAAAAGCATTTAGAAAATTCTGGGGGTGAGTCCTTCATCTCTGCAAATGTTCCAAAAACGTTTTCCTAGGGGTGTCCAAAGGGGAGGAAAGAGATGGATATCTCAGAACTGGTACAAGAGAGAAGGCATGGGGGCATGGTCAAGACCAAATTTCTCCTACAGAAAAGCGGTCAAAGCAGGAGTTTGGCCAGACTTGGGACATTCTGATCTCAAAACTGTCGAAGGAAAGCTTATGATATTTAAGGAGATGAACAGGGTGGAGGCAAGAAGGAAGTTTTTAAGGGATTGTTTAGTTGGTAGATTTGGGTGGAAGGTGGGGTTACAGAAGGTGGAGATCTGGGCTAATCAAATCTGGAAGGAGGCGGGGGGAGTGAAGGTGAAGAAGTTGGCGGACGAGCTCTTCTTGTTCATCCTGCCTTCTAGAGCAGATGCGCAATGAATTCTTGAAAAAGGTTCATGGTCAATGGGGAGGAACCCTCTTCTTCTTGACTGGTGGGGAGCTAGCGCGGGTTGTGTGGTTGGATCTTCGGGTGTATCAGTTCCTATCATTACTCAGTCTTGGTTAATGGGGTAGTGAAGGATTTTTTCCCAACTAGTAGGGGTGTCAAGCAGGGAGGCCCTCTATCGCCCTTCCTTTTCACTTTAATAGCTGATGTGTTTAGTAGATTGATTTCAAGGTTGATAGGGAAGGTGTAATTAGAGGGTGGAGAATAGGAAGAGAGGAAGTCCCAGTCACCCATCTTCAATTTGCAAATGACCTACTATTGTTCTGCAATAGTTTTGATGTTGAGAAGGTGAGAAACCTCAAGTTGTTGTTGATAACAAACTTTAAGAGAATCTCCAACCTATGAATCAATCTTTGATAAGAGCAAAGTAGTAGGTGTTAACTGGAATTAAGAAATGTCCAAACCATTGCACAGTGTTTAGAGTGTTCCATTTCTACTTGACCTTTGACCTACTTGGGGCTTCCATTGGGGGCAAATCCCTAGAGAGAGTACCTTTTGGTGCCCAATTGTAAAGAAGTTGGGAATTGAGAAACGTCCAAACCATTGCAGAGTGTTTAGAGTGTTCCATTTCTACTTGGCCTTTGACCTACTTGGGTGTTCCATTGGGGGCAAATCCAAGAGAGTAGCTTTTGGTGCCCAATTGTAGAGAAGTTAGGGAAGAGATTGGCAGCTCGGAAGAAGAATTACATTTCCTTGGGGGTCGAATCACCTTGATTAGAGCCACACTTGCTAGCCTACCAACCTATTTCTTGTCAATCTTTAGGATCCCTCCTAGGGAAGCTAAGAAGTTGGAGAAGCTAATGAGAGATTTTCTTTGGGAACTAAGGGAGAGTAGGAAAGATCATCTAATCAGGTGGGAGGAGAGGTTGCCAGAACAAAGATGAGGGGGGTTTGGGCTTGGGGAACTTAATTCAGGAGAATACAGCTTTGTTGGGGAAGTGGCTTTGGAGGTGGCCTCTAAAGAGAGAAAGGTTGTGACATGAGGTGATAGGAAGCATTCATGGTCGCTCAGACAGGGCAGGATGTAGGAGTATCTTGGTGGCCAACCTTGGCAACTCCTTGGAAGGCTATTCACAATATTCTCTCTATTTCTCAAATTTGTCGGGTATGATGTATGCATTGGAAACTCAACTCTTTTCTGGGAGGACCTTCGGGTTGGCGACTTACCTTTGAAAGACCTCGTCCCTTCTTTGTTCTCTGTCTCTCAATACAAAAGAAATGTTATTTCTTTTTTCTACTCCTCTTCGGAAAACCCCTTTGCACAAAACTAGGATTTTGGCATTCGTAGAGGTTTAAGGGATGAAGAAATTGAGTGTCTTACCACGCTACTAAGTCTTCTTGCATCAGTTTGCTTAGATCCCTTTGAACTAGATAAACAGGTTTGGTCACCACAGCCCAAAGGGTCTTTTTCTTGTGCTTCCTTTTTCATGTCTCTTTGTCAGTCACCCTCTCAACAGTTTTTTCCTGCCAAGGAAGTTTGGTGCAAGCCTATTCCCCCCCAAGGTTTTGGCATTTTGCTGGAAAGTGTTTCACAAGAAAATAATCAACTTGGATAACTTACAAAAGACAAGGCCCTTCCTTTGTCTCTCCCCTAACTAGTGCATCCTTTGCAAGTCCCTTGGTGAAGACTGTTACCATTTACTAATTTCCTGTTCGTTCACTATAGAGTTGTGGAATTGGCTCTTTTGTTGTTTGGATGTAGGTGGAACAGGCCAGCTGAAGTAGGCATGCCTTTTGATCCTTCTACTTTTGCCTGGCGCCAAAAGAGAGGAAGATTAATGTGGAGGTGTGCAAGAGCAGCACTGATCTAAACTGTTTGGGAGGAGAGGAATGCTAGAGTGTTTCAAGAGAAGGAAAGAAATTTACAAGACCTAAAAGAATGCATCAAGAACAGGGTTATCCAGTGGTTGAAATCCACAGAACTATTCCTTCATTTCTCCTTTAATGGTTTGTGGAGAAATTGGGCTGTAGTGGCAAGTAGCTCTTCCCTAAAGGCTAGAGAGAGTGTAAGATGGGCACCTCCTCCTGTAGGGGTTTTGAAGCTGAACTTTGATGTAAGTAGTCAAGGCAACCCAGGTCCTTCTGGTTTGGGAGGGGTTATATGGGGGTGAGGACGGAAAGAAATGTGGTGCTTCTTTTCTCGGGCCCCCTGGGTATTGGGGACTCCAATAGGGCAGAGTTGTTAGATACAATTTGAGGTGTACAGTTTGCTATTCAGTTAAGTGTGGTACAACTATTAATTGAAGGAGATCCCAAGGTGGTAGTAAGTTGGCTACAGAATCCTGAGTTTGCAGTGGTGTTATAAGAACGAAGCCAGGAGGTTCAAGTGGTTAACAAGGGGTCTGATTGTAAGAGTGCAATGGGTTGGGAGGTCAGCCAATGCTATGGCTGACTATCTAGCCAAGCAAGGGTAGCCAGGGACCAGTTGTATTGGGCACAGTTGTAGCTTGTTTTTTGCCTTGGAGAGTATGTAGCTTGCGCCTCTCCAAGTCTACTTGTATCAGCTCTTACTTATTAAACTAAATTAATATAATGATTTATTTCATTTCAAAAAAAAAAAAAGTGCTTCCTTTAACTTTATGTTGTCTTTTTCTTCCTCCAAGGATCTGCTTTCCTCACTAAAGATTCTTCCCATACTACTACCCAAACAACTGCAGACTTTACAGCTTTCCACAAAACCCTCCCTCCTCTTTTCTTTGGTTGCCTTAAGAAGTTAGGATTGAAAATACCAGTCACACCTTGGGGTTCCCACTTGCAGCCAAAAAGAGAGCAGTACTCCCGTATGCAGCACACAAAAGAGCAGGAGATTAATAAATGGGAGAGAGATTTGCCACTGACCTTACAAAGGAAGCACCAATGAGGAGAAAGGCAAGAATTAGGCCTTCTTCTCTACAGCATGTCACAAGTGTTAAACTTTCCAAGGAAAATTTCCCAACAGAAAGCTTGAACCTTGGATAGAATAGACATACACAAAATCTCTTTTACTGGTAAGTCTCCTCCTGCAGAAATAGGAAGAACAAGGTTTCTAAAGAAAGAAGAGGAAGAAAAAAGGCTGTCAGGAGAGGCTGACCAGATTCTAGTATCCTCAATGTTCAATTCCAGGAATATTACCTCTAGAATGCCAAGTAACTGAACAAGATAAGCACATTCATTTTCCCTTAGGCCTCTTCTGAAGCCTAAGTCCCAATTTAACCCTTAGGAAGAAGATCTTACCATTCAAGAAATGGTTACGCCTTTGAGGTTTGAGAAGGAAAAACATCAGTTTCCCTGTTTCCCCTGGCTAACCTTTCCACCACTAGCTTCCAAAAAACAACTAATCTTGGGTTCCCTTCCAGTGGTAAACCCAGGTACTCTATTGGCCAATTTCTAACCTCACAGCCCAAGGTTTTAGCAATCCTAAGAATTTCCCCTTCTTCCATATTTTCGCTACT